CCCAGGCAATGCAGAGGCATAGAGAGGCGGGGGCAGAGGGAACAGTTGCTTCTGGCCAGCACACCAGCGGGTGCCAGACAGGAGTGACTCCATGTGACCCACAGCGGGGAGGGAAGCACTTCCCCTCCCCACAGGAGCCGGCCTGAACAGCTTGGGGCTGTGACACCCGGCAACTTAGTTCTGGGGCCTTTCTGCGCAGTGCGGGGAGGTCAGGAGACCCGGGTCTGCGCAGCTCCGACTGTGCAGGCAGCGCTGTCTGCCCTGGGACTCCCCGCGCCCTCCCCCACCCCTCGCAGGACGGCATCGCGGAGATAAGTTGCTGGGGTGCAACAGCCCCTGCTGCTCAGTCAGCATGCATGCCGGCTGTTTGGAGAGGGGGAGTGCAGTCGCACACTTCCCAGAGGTACTGCAGGATTGCCAGGTACTGGTCCCAGCTGCCCCTGTCCCCTGCCCCCCCCCCCATGCTCCCGGTGCCCCTGGTCTGCTGGAGACGGTCCCCAGCAGACCAGGGGCACCGGGATCAGCTTTTCTCAATGTCAGAAAAACCCCCTGCGTTCTTTTGATTTTTTTTCAAAACAACGTGATTGCAGTGTGGCTGTAAGTTGAAGTTTTTTCGGAAATACGGCCGTGTTTCCAAAAAAACCTCTGTAGTGTAGACATACCCCCAGGCTGTGTCTAGACGGGCAAGTTCTTCTGCAAAATCATCTGCTTTTGCGGAAAAACTTGCCAGCTGTCTACACTGGCCGCTTGAATTTCTGGAAAAGCACTGACGATCTCATGTAAGATCGTCAGTGCTTTTCTGGAAATACTATGCTGCTCCCGTTCGGGCAAAAGTCTTTTTCCAAAAGACTTTTGCGCAAAAGGGCCAGTGTAGACAGCACAGTACCCGCAAAAAAGCCCCGATCGCGAAAATGGTGATCGGGGCTTTTTTGCGGAAAAGCACGTCTAGATTGGCCACGGACGCTTTTCTGCAAAAAGTGCTTTTGTGGAAAAGCATCCTGCCAATCTAGACGTGCTTTTCCAAAAATGCTTTTAACGGAAAAGTTTTCCATTAAAAGCATTTTCGGAAAATCATGCCAGTGTAGACATAGCCTTTCAGTTTAACGTATTTTATTTAAAAATGGAGGCTGGTCAACATGCCCCCAATTGGGGCCAAATCCCCATCTCACTGCAGCATCATAACACTCCTGCACCACCTGACCCCAAATCTGAGCCTATCATACACTGGAACCCCCTGTCCTGAGCCTCTTACATCCCCAAACTCCTGCATTCCCACATTCTCAGTCTTCTGCCACAACATTCTTGCACCATCCACACATAGCAAATGTGTCCTGAGCCCATCATACAACCTCCTTGCCCTGAGCCCCTCACATATCCAACACAAACTTCTGCACCCTCACATCCACAAGCCTGTGACTTGCTCAGCACCCCAGCCTTCCACCTGAGCCCAACACTCCCCAGCCTGGAGCCCCCTCCCCGAGACAGCATCCCTTTCTCCTGCATCCAAATTCCCTCCCAGGGCTTGCACTTCTCACCCCTTCCCACATCCAAATCCCTCATTCTCACTCCAGAGCCCGCACCTCCTGTCTCAAACCAGTGAGAGTGTATAAGGGCTGGGGATATCGGGATAGCAAGTGATGGAGAGGAGGGGAACAGAGAGGATGGGACCTTAAAGGGATGGGGTCTTAGGGAAGGAATGTGATTTTCATGCATTGGTGGGTTCCCCTTCCTTTTTTTTTGCTTGACAAAACTAGGGGTTCCTTGAAAGTCTGAAAAGGGTTCCATGGCTAAATAAAATTGGGAAACACTGCTGTATACTGTACAAACTTGGGCAAGTTATTTTATCTTCACTGATTTTCATATTTTATTTTCCACCTGTAAAATAGGGTGTGTTACTGGTTTATAGAACTGATGAAAAGCTTATAGTGAATGTCACTATAGAAGTGTACAGAAATACTACAAAAACATCAGAATTAATGGCCCCCCTCCCCGAGCCAGCACCCCCTTCTCCTGCATCCAAATTCCCTCCCAGAGCTTGTACTTCTCACCCCTTCCCACACCCAAATCCCTCATTCCCACCCCAGAGCCTACACCTCCTCTCTCAACCAAGTGAGAGCGTATAATGGCTGGGGATAGCAAGTGACGGAGAGGAGGGGAACAGAGAGGATGGGGCCTCAAAGGGTGTGGTCTTGGGGGAAGGAATGTGATTTTAATGTATTGGTGGGTTCCTGCATGTAACAGCAGGTCTGGGTCCTAGAGAGAGCTGAATGCACTGCCTGCACCACAGTCTGAGGGAGGAGATTGGCTGCTGGGGTCTCTGGGAAGAGGAGGGGGTAGGGGTGGAAGAGCAAGTCAAGCATAGGGGCACCAGTTTAATAATCCTGCCTACGGCACCATAAATCCTAAGGACAGCCCTGCATTTCTGACACCTCGCTCTGAGACATCTGGGGTTGGCCCAATGGTATAGTGGTGGTTTAAATATAAAAAGTAATGGATAACCTTAACTCCATATTCCTCAAATGAGAAGTGAGTAAACTCAGTTAACCAGATTTACTCTTGACGACATTACAGGCTGGCCCTTATCAGAAATAGGATACTGGACTAAATGGAGTAAGGATCTGATGTAGTACAACAATTTCTATGTTCCTCTGCACCAGTTGGTTCACAGTTTCTACTCAAACTGCCCATGTGCTCTGAAATCCAAGTCAAAGGATAAAATCATAATGGCTAAGGATATTAAGTACCGAGTAAATGACTAATTGTGTACTTGTGAAAACGGTGCTGGGGGGAACCAGCTTTTAAGCCACCTCCCTCCAGCACTGGCTCCTGCTTCCTACCCACCTTGCTGCCCCTGATATAAAGGCAGCAAGCGGGGGGGAAATGTGAGTAGTTGACTCAACTACCCATTAAGCCTAGGCTTATTGGATAGTTGACTATTTGACTACTTTTTTTACAGCTCTAATATTGACAAGACATAAGCCAGGAAATAAGGGAATGTTAGCATCTATGGGTAGCTAGCAAAAAATGAATTTCTTGTTCTGCAGCTGAGAAATATGCTTAGTTAAAAAAAAATGGTTGAACTGAAAATGTGTTTCAGTGCTTACAACCCATATTTCATCAATATATTCTGAGTTACTCACTGGTTTCTTTATTTGCCTTTTTAGCAATGAACTTTAAATATACTCATCTTACAGGAGAGGTAGAAAAGACCCAGAAACAATATATGCACATACAGATAGCAGGTAATATAAATTTTTCATTTGAGCAGCCCATTGATAGAAAACACTACTGCATCTACTCCCCAACCTTAACCACTCTTTTATCCTACTCCTTTCACATTAGGAATGTAGTGATACACAGTATTTTTTTTAGCAGAGTTCAGATATTTTAAGGTTAGTATAAGCCCTCTTCATTCTAAATTCTTATATCTTACCCTAGAGAAGAGGTTCTCAAGCTGTGGTCCATGATCTCCATTGACATGGTCCATGGATAGTTTCCTCTATGGTGCACACTTAGCTGCTCATGAGAGAATGAAGGTCTACCTACCTAATCAGTGGAGCTGCACAGTTATGGCTCCCCTTTGTAGGTGCCTGGACTCTGCAGAAGATACACATCTAAGGTGAGGTTGTGGCCTTGGGGGAAATAGGAGGAAGGTGTCCCCACTTACATCCTATTTTCCCCCACCTGATCTCACTGACACCTCCCACCTACTCCTTATCCCCCCACCAAGGCCACCAACTCAGCTTTCATATATGTCTTCTGCAGGGTCCAGGCATCTAATTAGTGAAGCCTCTCCTGCACAGCTCTACTCATTAGGTGGCCCTTCATCGGAATGTGTGAGGCTGTGGTGGCCAAAGAAAGAGGTGACTTTCCCTAGCTCTAGGGCAGGGGTGTCCAAACTTTTTTCAAAGAGGGCCAGATTTGATGAAGTGAACATGCGTGAGGGCCGGCCATTTTGCCTGACATTCTTTGAACCATTAAAATTAAATGCAAATTAACTATTTTATGCAAAGTTTATTGCAAACGGCATACTTTTCATTTCGTCACATGGATGACAAATCTAAACAGGTGTTAAATCACTCTGCCTTTCATATCTGAAGGCCAGATGAAAAAAAAATCCAGGAAGCTGAAATATATGTCAGGAACATTGTAAAGTACATTACATATTATTGGTAATAAAGGTTGTCTGTCAACTTTTAAGTTAAAAAAATATGAACAGGAACATAACACCAAGTATATATGTTGTGTCCAAATATATTTATAACTGATTTAGACCAACTGACATTAACTGAGATTTTACAATGTATTCATCTCAATACATATGGATTCGTTGGGGGCCATAAAAGATAGATATTGCCAAATTACCTGTGGGGCCGTATTAAACCGGAACACGGGCCGCAATTGGCCCGCGGGCCAGACTTTGGACATGCCTGCTCTAGGGCTTAGGATGCAGGGGAGAGACAGCGCTAATTCCCTGCTTTAGATTGGGGGCTGCTGCAGCAGGGGAAGGGAGAGACATGCCTAATCCCCTCCGCATCACCCCCCAAGCTCGGTAGCTGCTGTTGAGGAGAAGAGACAGCTCTCCCCAAAATAGTGCTAAAACTAAATAAAAATCATTTCTCCAGACAAGTTTTATCTATCTATCTATCTATCTATCTATTGCACTTTGATCCAAAGCTCTTTATAATAGTTAGCTAACAGTAAAAACAGCATTTGGAATGTCATTAAGTGGTCCATCAAGACCCTCAGCATTTTTCAAATGGCCCACAAAACAAAATGAGAGCCTTTGCCCTAAAGGCAATCAATTATTCTGTATATATTGATGTCCTGACCTCCTCCCGCCCCCAGCATGAATAGCATTTTGTTTTATTAAGTCAACTGAGTATCATCTTAAATGTTTTGTATAACATTTACAGCCTGTATCCTTGATCATGTAAAATAAAATGTTATTCTATGATCATTCAAATACTGCTTTATTTAAGTCTTTGAGAAGTTGTGACTGTATTTATTGGAGCCCTTTATTTTACAAGCAAAACAACATTTCACACTGAAGGTTTCATATTAGTGGGCCTTGAAAATATGCTTCAATAAATAAAAACAGAAAAGGAAAGGATGTAAAATATCACCTATAAACACATGCGACACTGGAGAAAATAAAAGGTATCTGTCCCATTAAATCTTTAAAACAGTTCCATCAACTTATATTTATTTTGGATAACAGGTATCATTTAAACACCATCTCTAATAAAACTATGATCTTTTTTCTTAACATTTATTTGCATGAAATGGGATGCTGACTAGAAGATTTCACAAAATTAATCAAAAATATCTATAAATAACAAATTATCAATCTTTTATGGCTTTGTAAGAGAAATTTCCTAGCCAGCTAAGGAATAATGCTAACAGGGACAAAGGTTTACTTTAAAGATATAGGGGTTTAGCTTTTCATTTAACAAGAGTTCTGAAACTTGGAAATTCTAAAAAAGAAACCATTGCAAAACATTAGTGCAAAGGGGCATAAGTAAAATCTCAAAAAAGAAAACAAAACAAAAAAAACCAACAGCAAAAGCTTGACTAGGAAGTTGTTTCCTTTTTAAAGTATCATTTGTTCTCTTACATATATTGAATAAATGGGAGATGTGTACATATATTCAACAATCGAATCTGGCCTTATGTAAGATAGTTGTTTCATTGTAGTTTATTATTTTTAAATGTTTATAGATTCTGTGTTTCAAACACACTGCTCCAATCTCTGAAAACTATCCTAATTCCCTGTTGAATGTTTTCAGATCTTGTTTTCAGATAGAATAATTATGGAACACAGTAACAGTTATAGTACTGTATTTCAAATATGATAAAGGAAGTGAACATATAAAAAACCAGACTGTACTGAAATTATAAATAATGACACGTTACACCTATTAGTTGACTTTTTAAAATGGATAATTTAGTGCATCAAGCTTGCACAATATATGAAAAAAAGACATATCTGCTTCCAAAAACTTCAGATCAATCAAAAATATTTAAAATAAATTTAAAAGCGCTAGATTTCAGTAATAAACTATGTTTTGCAACTGGCCCTTGCAATGCTCTGAATTGTTCTTGGGAAACATTTTCTAGACAAGAAAAAGCTGTACATTATACTACAAAGTTTGCACAACTTTGATTTTGTGTAGGAAATCAAAACATTACAAACTGTTTTCAAGTATCTCTTTAAATGCCTGATGGTGTGTAACATACTTTGAGTACAACCAGCCAATCTGAAAAAACCCTCTTACAACTTAAATGTAAAGGGTCCAATCCAGCATTTTTTATAAACTGGGAGTTTTGGGTATGGGCGGGATACAGGACCAAGTCCTAAACATCCACCCATCCTGAAGGGAAAAGCAATAAAAAAATAGGAAACCCCACCTACCTTGATAAAAACAAAACTATACAATCTTAATATACTGATTTTACATCTGATTTTATATCTGTTCTTCTCATTCTGATTGAATGTTTTCAGCAACATATTAGTTACAAAATATTTGACTTCACACTTGATGAAATGTTCAAAATAGTGTCTCTGCTGTATGTATATGTTCCACTCCATGTCACGAAGAAAATTCGGTTGTGCCATCACACCTACTTTTTGGAAACGACACTAAAGTTCATCATGCTTAAGAACTGCAACCAAAAAAGAAAAATGTTTATACTTTATGTTCATGCATATTTGTTCATACTTAAGTAGCAGTGCTGTAATACATTCTAAAATGTTAAAATGGCCCCAATATTTTCAGAAGGCATTTTATTCATTCCCAAAGAGTCCTAAAAGTCAGCTCACATATTTAAAAAATTCACATAATTTTTAGACTGCCAACGATTTACCATAAGCGTTCACAAATAATCAAAATGATTGAAGAAACTTAAGTATTATTTAGCAGCAGAGTGCACTGATTTGCCTTTTAGTTTTTAAGCCCTTGGGGAGCATATTTTTCTCTTCAATCAGGGGGACTAAAAATTTTTTTTTCAATTAAAGTTGAAATTCTCATATAACTACCTGACTCTCAGAACTGGGGCTATAACAAAAAACAAAAACAATCCCCCCCCCACCAAATATTGTAAACCTACTATTCATGAGAGTTGTCAACAATGAGATGATGCATAGGTAAAATGTACATAAAGTAATTTTTTTTTTTAATTTAAAACCCCATTATATTGTGATTTCATTGTTATAGGTGGCCTAGTAGATCAATCTTTCTAACTATAAGACCCCATTTTAATTGCCTATTGCTTTCTCAGACTAACTGTTTGGAGGAGATATTTGACATGCTATATTTCTGTCTCAGGAATATTTTGGAAAATTTGAGCCTACGTAATTCATTCAGACTAGGGGAAATACATTGTTTTGCTAGTGTCCAAAATGCTGGCAACTTTTAAGAGCCATATATTTTGGAGCCGAGACTTGAAGTTCAGTGTGTGATTTTTGTGTCTGAGATACGCCTTTTGACATCTTTATGAAAATCCACTCAAATTTGGCCAGTTTATAAGCCTTTTAACCTCCTACCCCAGCAGTTTGCACATGCTCAGTAGAAACTTGCCAGACTATAGCTAAATGTCCCAAAAACTCCATTAGCACTGGGCCTGCTTCAGATGAGAGTAGATGAAATGCAGATCTTCACTGCTGTGGGCTGTGCTTGGCCAAGATCTAGGCAATGAAATAGACAAAAGGGAGATAGTGGCTCCAGGCAGCAACAAGAAGGATGATACCTAAAGGGAATGCACAAAGGAAAAGAGCCAGATTTATGGGGATGATGGGGGAGCGGATTGAGACAATGAGCTTGAGGATGGGAACTGGGACGTGGAGGCTGATCTGGGGATGAGAGAAGGGGAAATGGAGGCTGTGATTGGGAGCTGGTAAAAGGGATACTGGCATTGGCTGGGCCTTATGTATTACCGGCACTGACCCCCTACAACGCTATACCACCAATGGTCTTGCCTCCTGTGTTTCCGCAGTTCACCACAGCAGCAGAGCTGTCTATAGCTTCAGTGCCAGGAACGCCGTTTGTCGGCACCAATGGCACCCCAGCTAGTTCCAAATCCTCATTTTCTGGAAACCTAACCTTAGGGCAATTATACGTGCGGTTGCTGTGCTCATGCTCAGTGCCAGAGTGGGTGCTTCTGAGGCAGACTTTGGCACTGCCGAGCTGGAGATGGCTACCACGTCTCACTTGGTCATTCTGGGGGACAGGTCAGGCAGTAGGGATCTGGCAGTAGAGATCCTGGTCCTTTCATGTCCCTGAGGCGTCGGAGATGTTGATCTGCATCTGTATTTGGTCTAATGAAAGCTGTCCTGTCGGCTGTAAAGCCTTCTCCAGGAGGGACATGCGGAGCCTAAGCTCCCAATCTTTTCTTGCCATGGCCAACAAGGTCCTACCAGTGCTTGCATTTTTGTGTGGTATGTGACTCCCCCAGACATCTAATGCAGCAGCTATGACCATCAGAAGCTGAGATGGACTCGTTACAGAGGTATAATTTCTTAAATCCCTGAGAGCCAGGCATATTAGAAGCCGTTGGTTCTCGGGGCTGAGAGCTCGGGGGTTCTTATTTCAACCGTTGGCAAGTTCATGTCTAAAGGCTGCCGTTTTATGAGGTCTTGCCTTTCTTCTTCTTTTTTTGAGAAGTGTAGCCAGCTGGGGCAGAGAGAAACCAATGCTGCTAAAGTGGCTACTGCTGGGGGAACAGTGTGTTCCCTGGTTGTTGGTGGAAATAATGTAATAAGATGATCTGTAATTGAATTAGGTCAAAAGATGGTGAAAAGAGTGAAATTTTTCCTGTGAGGAGAGAAGTGCCTGAAGTGGCAGGAGAGCTCCTTCTGCAACCGAGGGTGGTAGAAGAGGAACTGAGGGAAGGGGATTGGGCCGCGCTCAACTGTCAAACTGCCAACAGCACGAGATGCTTGCTGCGCATGCATGGCCCAACTGCTAACTGCTATGAAAATCTCTGATCCTGTAGCTCTGGGGAAGACCTGTCACCTACAGTGGAGAACCCATGGGAACATCACCTGAAGAAGAACAATAATTATTGTACAGGTAATTAGAAATAAATGCTAAAAGAGGGCCTCACCATACTGACAGAGACACTAGAGAATTTTGGATGAGACAGGCAGTCCAATATATGTCTCATTTTTATAGTATGTGAGGTTAATATATAAGCTTCTATCCAGACTGAAAACCTCTTCTACTTGGTTGCATGCATAGCACTGATGGAATCTTCTCCACTGTTCACCAGAATGGTCTGGACATACTGGAAGCAAATCCTCTCTTTATTGCTCACACAGACATTATCCATGCAATGAGATGAAAAGTGTTTTAATTTTGAGAACAACAATGAGGATACCATGAAGTAAAATATTTTGGATGAAGTCCTGTCCTTAATAAAATCAAAGTAAATTTTGCCACTGATTTCCACAAGGCCAGGATTTGACCCCTTTCAATATAGTTTTTAGGCACAAAGTCATTATGTAAATGACACAACGTGCACAACTTCCTCAAGAGTAGGGAGAATCACTTGAGGCACAATACATATGTATATTAGTCCTGATCTGTGCTTAAATTACTAATTAGAAATCAGATAAACATGCTTATTAAGTTGAACATATATGTGGAAAAGTTTATTCTCTTACCTTTTCGAGATGTATGAGTCAAGTTTTTCTTCTCTTTTTCAATTTGCTTTATTAGCTTTCGTATTTCAGAGTCATACTGAACCCATTCTGGGACTATCCTCAATGCAGCCTGTAGTTTGGGTTCTTTGGTTTTGGGGTTATTACACTGCAAGTATAATATATATCACTCTCAAAAAGGGAACACATGATAAAACACCAACCATTATAAGGAAATGCAAGTATTCTGCTCATCATTACTGATGGAAAAATAACAGGTCACTAAACAGAACACTGCTAAAAACAAGCTACAAAATTAAACACTGATTAGGACAAGTGTTTCACGATGTATCCCTTTTGAAATCAGAGTGGACTATTAATTCACTGAGAAGCAAACTACACCAAAACCAGTTTTGAAAGTTCTTAAAACATTAAATTAACTATGCAAATTATTTTGGCAAAAATCCACTTATTAATATTTTGCAATACAGCAGAACACCATACAACTATTATTTACCATATTTTCAGTCATTACCCTTTTAGTCAATTAAACATCTGGATAAAATTCTTTATATTCAATAAATAGGACCATCTGTCACTAGGAATATCTTCAGTCTCCTGTATAATCATTCATCTCTCTCAATTACTTTCTACATAATTAGCTATTCTGTTAGTGTTACAGATCACTTAAAGGGCAACATACATCCGGTAAAACTTCCTTGAGATTCATCAACAAAATAGTATGAGATAGTCAATAAACCAAAATCTGATAAAGTTATTTAAATCATTTTAATTGAAATAATCTAATTTTTATTTTTATTGAGCTCCTCTGGGTCTGCAGGAAACTTGGCCACACCCATGATAAGTGGACATCCAGTTGTACGAGACTGCCAGAGCAGAAAGGTTGAATCTGTACTTATATGATAGTACAAGGAAAGAAGGCTCAGCCAAATAAACTCAAGGCTTTACATAAATTAAATCAGTAAGTATAAGGTAAAACATAAATAATCCTTTTCAAACAAAAATGTGTTTATATCTGGGAAGGTTTGAAGAAAGAATAGAGTAGCGTGGCATTTTTTTAATATACATTTTATCCTGTTCTGTACATTTCTATTTTCTGAAATATGTCTGATAATTAGAGATGGCCAAATAATGATAAAAACATTCACAATCTGCCTCCCCCTAATTGTTTGGCAAAAATTTGTTTTGATGGAAATAACACTCTCCATCCATCCCTCTCCATACACTTCATCTATCTATCTATCTATCTATCTATCTATCTATCTATCTATCTATCATCTATCTATCTATCTATCTATCTATCTATCTATCTAATCATGAGTTTTCATGGGCAAAACCCACTCCAGAAGGTAAAAAGATTCACTCAAGGTTTTTCTCACAAAGGCTTACTCGAATAAATCCAAAACCACAATGAAAGCTATAAAACAAACACAATAAACCTTTGGTAACATATACCAAATTATTATTTTTCTTCAGTTCTATAACTACGGTTCTTTAATCTGAGATCATGGTCAATCAAGACTTCTAAACATATGTCTTCAGAAATAAATTACAGGTAAGGAACATTTTTCTCTCCCTCCTTAATGCCCTTCTCTGCACACGATAAACCTGGTGAGGTATATTAGAGTAGTTGAAGGCAACTATACTCTCCACTAAATAAGCAGTTTTCCATTCCCTGAATAATCAGAACAAAGGCTACTCCAAGCTTAATGTGGACATCTGACTCTAATTAAACTGCAAAGGGTCAGTTGAGGCTGTTAGGCTACTGTTGATACCTTACTCCAGCTAATCTGGAAGAGTCACTTGAGGCCATTAGGCTAATATGGCTACCAGACTCTAATTAAGGGCCATTCCATACTGTTTAAAAACTCTCCCTTCAGTCAGTCTTGGAGAGAGAAATGGAAGCGTTGCTGCATGACTGGGTAATAGAAAAAACACCAACAAGAAACAGGGAAGGGAGCATTGAGGGCGTGAAGGAGATGTTTGGGTGGGGGCAGCCAAGGTTTCCCCAAATCCTCCCTGATCCATTACAGAGACACCCTCCCCCCCACAAGAGGGAAGACAGGCCCTTGCTAAACTGATAACCAGGAAGTTCTCCCAACATGCTGCAGTTTGTAGTCCACAACTTGTAGTTCCCAGGGCTGCTGCTGAAACACACTGGACCTTGGGCTATAGAGCTCCCTGAGAGGCGTTTAAGTGACACAAAGGGAGAACCTGGACTTGGTTATGTGGGGTTTAGTTACTGAGGGAGTTGGAATATGTGTTCCAAGGGGGCTGTGTTGTATGCTGTAAGCTCTGCCCCCAGGAGAGTCTCAGCAAGGACTGTGCTAGAAGCAGCACACAGGCTGCATGCTGAGAGAAGGGGCTGCTGAACTGTTTTCCTCTTCTATGTTTTTTACAGAATAAAGCCTGTTCCTGGTGATCTGTCCAAGTGGGTCTGGTCTGAGGTGCGCTCACACACACAACGCAGAGCACACCAAGCAGCCTCAGGCCTAGCCATCCCCTCCCCACCCACAGTGGTGTAAGAAGTCACAAGCTCCCCTATGCTGAATAACCTCACACTGGGCTAGCCAACAGGAGGGGTTACATTTTTTAGCTACTGGTGCCGTGACTCAGATAGGGAAAGCTTGAATAGTTTGCACAGTTAGGAATCTGCCCCACCAGCACAACATGAACTCACATTTTGGAGCCCAGGGGGGGTCGGTATGACCCAGGGTTGGTGTCAGTGAAAGTAGAGACCCCCAATGGGTGTCGTGGCCTAGAGATCCCTGTGGCTAAGGATATAGCTGTTGGAAGGGAAACCTTAGGGAAGAGCATAGCAGTGCTGTACCTCCCTGCACAGCACCAAATCCGTGGGGTGCCTGTTTTCAGTGGTGGTACAGATTGCAGAGTAGACATTGAGGACTGGATAAAAGATATAGAGTATCTGCTAGCAGCCACTGGCATTCCTGAGCCTTTGAAGGTCCCCACTCTTGTTAGATACCTAAGTGGGGGAGCCCGTAAATTAGTCCTTAATCTGCCACCGAGCCTCTGAAGTTCCCCACCCTTGTCAGATACCTAAGTGGGGGAGCCCATAAATTAGTCCTTAATCTGCCACCTCAGGAGCAGTTTCCAGCCCGAGCTGTTGAAGAGCTTAGAGCAGAATACAGTGACTGTCATTTATCATTGGACCCCACGGTAGACTTTTATGAGAGATGCCAACGCCCTAGAGAAACAGCCTCAGCGTATGCCATCGAGTTAGAAGCCTTACTGCGGGTAGTAGAGGAGAAGCTCCAACAGGGCCGACCCTTCCCTGATGGGGACTATAAACTGACACAACAGTTCATGCGGGGCATCCGGGACTGAGAAGTGCAGAACAGGTTGGCACCTGTACAGCCTCGCTACATGACATTCCGACAGTTGCAAGAAGAACTGCGTCAGCTGGCCCGGGAGAGGAATGTAGAGGGTAGAATGCATGGGCCAGCCCAGAGGATAAATAGCCTGCAACAAGCTGCCCCGTAAGATGATGCTGTGCAGGCTGCCCCCGAGGTACCTCCACTCAGCAGTACCCCGCATCAGGCAATGCTAGAGACAGCGAAAGGCCTAACTGGACTAGTCCAGGAACTGACTGCCATCCAGAAACAGAGCCATGTGAGAATGGGACAGCTGGAGGCACAGGTATTGCAGCAAGGTATAGCAGTGAGGGCAGCACCTCAAAATTCTAGATGGGAAAGTGGTGGAAGTATCCCTGACAATAGTGCCCGTGTCACCAGAGGCCATTTTGCATGCCACCGTTGTGGACAAGAAGGCCACATTATATTAGTATTTGCATGACTATTTTTCATTGAGTCATAGATTTGTGTAAACTGCAAAGGGTCATCTTAAAGCTGAGCTATGTGCATGTGGATAATATGCATTTTGGTGTATTAACTAGCTTGAGTTATTAGAAAGGATGATGATACATGTACTCCAAGGGTCGTGCTAATTTTATTTTTATTTAATTTATATTTAATATCATAAGCATTGCTCGTTGTTAACTCTCCTTTGTTTTAATATAATTTCTTCCACACCTACGGACTGTTTATATATTTTTGTACTGGTGGTGCACATCCACACACTACCTCAATATTGGTATTGCACATAAGAAATTTCAACCAACTTAAAAGAAAATTCAACCTGCCTAAAGATAGAAAATGTCAGAAGGAACACTGGAGGTTGTGTTCCTGAACTTTTCAGCACGGCTGCCTCTCTGTCACTCAGTGGGTGATGCTTAAACCTGTAGCCATCTGAACTTATGGGATCTTATATGTGAGAGTACAGAGTTAAATATCATAATTAGTGAAAGTTGAAGAAACTCAGGTTAATAAAATGACATTTTCATTAACTCTTAACCGACTTACCAAATCAATTGTTTTAGCCTTCTTCTTGGATTCATCATCACACCAGGTTTCACACCAGAGCCATTCTTGAGGGAGAGACTTAATGGCCAACTGATGAATCATATTATTGGGAAGATCCTGCACAATGTAGGTTAAAAAAAAAATCACAAAATTAGTAACCTTGAATTCTGATATGTGAATAGCAGGTTACCAAAACCTGAATTATGACACTACTATTTGAAGGAGACAGCACGGAATACCTATCTCTGCTCCCATTTCTATGAAGTATTTTTGCTCTCTGAGTTTCTAAGTGCTCATTTACTTGTTTTTCAAATTAATAACTGCTAAAGTGTTTGGTATTCAGTTCCATCTGTTAATTACAATATAATATATTAAGAAATATACACAAGACCAAATAACCAGTGTTAGATTTATATTCACCTTATACAGAAGGTGTATTCCCAAAATACACCTCTAAAGCTTTTTTATGTTCCACCATTTACAAGTGGTACTTGTATGTGTCATCTGAAACTAGATTTAGCCAATCAGCTTTCTATCTTTTCTTTCCTGGTATTATGGTATACCCCTTATCTCTTTGCTCTAAACACATGCATTCCAAGTAGCAAGGAGAGTGAAGTCATCTTCCTGGTTTGTACAGAGGTAGAACAATAACAAGTCTTTCCCCCTTCCATGCAAAAAGCTACACTGTTAGTTACAAGTTGGGACGGAGATTGAGATCATCGTTCTGTGACAAAAGTTGAGGAAAAGTTGAGGAATGACCAGAATGGTCACCAGTGAACAAAGGGTAGAAGGTCTGCCTGGACCACGTAGGGGCAATTAGAATAATGTTTGCCTTCTCCCTATTTACTTTCATCAGGACTTTCATCAGAACATGTTGGGGGGGGGGGGGGGGGAAGAAATACAGGAGAACTTCATGCCAAGGAAGGAGAAGAGTATTTTCCAAAGAGTGCTGTCTGACCTCTGCTCTGGAACAGTATTGCCAACATTTCTTTTCTGGTAAGTCATGAACAAGTCTATCAATGTAAGTGTACCTCTCTTCTGAAATATGCTGTGCAGGATAATTCCATTTGTGGCCATGTGGAAATTTTAAGATAAGACTGTCAGCTCTTGTGTATTCCTGGCAGATAAGTCAGAAATACTAGAATGTTGTGGGAAATGCATCAGTTCAATAACATCAGTCCTATCGCACAGAGAGTGGGACTGAGCAATTCTATACTGGTTTATGTAGTACATGGAGGCCATATTATCTGTCATGACATGTATATGTGTGGTCCTGAGCAGCAGAAGAAAGCGAGCACATGCATTTATGACTGCTCTGAACTTGAGCAGATTGATGTGAAGGCATCTTTCTGCATAGCGCAATCTGCCCTGAATTGTGTGACAGTTGAGATAGGTTCCCTATCCTATGAGGGATGTATTGGAGTTCAGAAGAGATGGGGGTGACTGTACAAACAGAACTCCTGTATAGACACTTGCCAGGTCTGTCCACCAGTCTAGAGACTGCTTGACCTGGTGGGAATTAACATAGGTTATTTTATACTGTGTCTGTTTGGTCTACAAACCAAACCAGGCTTTGTAGCATCTCATGAGCAATGACTGATGTGCTCATGACCATATGCCCCTAGGCTGAAAGCAGTGTCTGGCTGAGATTTGTGGGCTGAATGAAAGTGTCTCCTTTCAATGAGAAGAGACTGAGAAATCTTCAGTGTGGGAGGAAAGCCTTCACTCGAACAGAGTTGAGGTAAGTGCCTATGAATTCTAGTCTTTGTGCCAGTACTGAGCTCAATTTTTTTGTTTGATCTATAGGCTCAGATTCAAGAATGGGTTGCATGTCACTTGAGTGACTCAATGGGCCTTCAAATAAGACCAAACCCTGAATAATCATTCAGGTAAAGAAAGATCATAATACACAGAGGCTGTGTCTAGACTGGCAAGTTTTTCCGCAAAATCATCTTATTTTGAGGAAAAGCTTGCCAGCTGTCTACACTGGCCGCTTGAATTTCTGGAAAAGCACTGACGATCTCATGTAAGAATTCTATGCTGCTCCCATTTGGGCAAAAGTCTTTTTCCGAAAGATTTTTGCGCAAAAGGGCGAAAATGGCAATCGGGGCTTTTTTGCGGAAAACCGCGTCTAAATTGGCCACGGACGCTTTTCCGCAAAAAGTGCTTTTGCGGAAAAGCATCCTGCCAATCTAGACGTGCTTTTCCAAAAATGCTTTTAACGGAAAAGTTTTCCATTAAAAGCATTTTCGGAAAATCATGCCAGTGTAGACGTAACCAGAGATTATAAATGAGCTGCCACTACTATTCATGAGGACCTTCATGAATATCCTAAGGATCAAAGAGAGGCCAAATGGGAGGACTCTGTACTAGTAGTGGTTCTGGCAATGTCTGTAATTCTGTATGATGGAAATATAGAAGTATGCATCTTGAAGGTCGAGGATCAAGAACCAATCTCCTTCTAGTGCTGGGTTGATAATTGGTATGTGACCAAGGTTCCCTGTAAACTGCATGCCTGGTCTGTTTTACTTGTACTTGTATAGCATGGATCCTAAACATTCCACGGATAAACTGTATAAGATGGAGTGAATGCCTTTTACTCTCCTTTCCAGTAGCAGTAAATATTGAATTAATATTTGCAAGGAGAACCTGACTATTTCTGCTTGACTCATTGATTTGTTTAGCCTCTGAAAGCTGCTGTGTGTGGATAATATTCATTTTGGTGTGTTTACTAGCTTGAGTTGTTAGAAAGGATGATAATACATGTAATCCAAAGGCGGTGTTCATATTTCTTTTATTTGATTTCATATTAAATAAACATCATAAGCATCGCTCCTTGTTTATTATCCCTTGTTTTAATATATTCCACACGATGGACTGTTCAAAATATATATTTATATCTAGGATTTTTGTTTGTACCAGTGCATGCACATCCACAACTACCTCCATATTGGTGTTGCTCATAAGACATTTCTACCTGCCCAAAAGAAAATTCAATCTGTCCAAGGATGGACAAATGTTAGAGGGAACACTGAGTATGATCATCTTGAATTTCTGCATTTTGACAAAACAATGGTGAGTGCTCGGAGATCCAGTATGGCTCTCCAACCTCCCCTTTTCTTCAATATCAGAAAATAGCAAGAGTATAAAACTTTGCTCCAAAGATGCATGGGTACTGACTCTGCTGCTCTTATGCTGAGAAGATGGTTCACATCTTAGTGTAGCAGACTTTCATAAGAAGGGTCCCTGAAGGACAAGGAAGGGTGTAGGCAAGGAGAAGTGGACTGCAATTTCCAACATCTGGGCAATTTCCAACATGTACATGTTGGAGTTATCTATTCCCAGGGACTGTGGAATGAGAACAGATGATTTCCAAAAAAGTGAGTGGGATTTCCCAGAATGTAGTTGTGAAGAGTATTCTGTGGGCACCTAGACCAACCCTTCAAAACTGCTATTCAGATCTTGATGGTTGTGGTGATATTGGCTGTTATCGCAACTGCTTCTACTTAGGGAAACTTGATTCCTTCCTTTGAGGTTCATAAGGTTTCTGTGACTGCTACTGAAGCATATATTATGATCAATGGAGCTTAAACTGCAACTGAGGGCTGTGTTCCTTCTTATAGACCAGGATGTAAATTACCAGTGAGCAAAGGGTCAGCTAAGAATCCTTAATTATATGAAGGAACACATTCATCTTTTCGATAAACAGTTTTATTCCCTCAAAAACAGGTTTTCATCTGTTGCCTGAACCTCACTGAGGAAACCCAATGATTGCAGCCACGAACCCCTTCTCATGGCCACCAGGTTTGAAATCAAGCAAGGCAAGGTATCCTCTGCATCTAAAATGGCCTGTAGGGATGTGTTTGCTACCATTTGTCCCTTATTAATTTTGGTAGAGAATTGATCTTTCTGGAAATCTGGCAGCTAATCAATAAAGACATTTAATTTTGTGTAGTTTTGGTAGTCATATATGGCAAATAAGGCCTTGTAGTTATCCTCCTTGAACTGCAGAGCAGCAGATGAGTATGCTTTCCTGACAGACAGGCCTAAGCGTTTTCCATCCTGGTTGACGGGTATGGATTGAGAATGAGATTGGCAACTCCTGGAATTAACTGTGTTCACTATAATAGAGTTCAGAGGTGTGGAAACAGCAACTCTGTGCCATTTTCTGGCATATAATACTTTTTGTCCACTTGCTTACACATTGGAGCAGGGGGATGGATGCCATACAAGTCTGGCAGGGTCCACATGTGCCTTATTCACAGGAACACGGGATGTGCCACCTTGATAGAGGTAGGAACATGTAGGGTATTTACCATCTTGTGGTAGTGTTCAGGCACCTTGTGAAATTGAATTTGTAGAACTTTTGCAACCCTCTGAGCCCACTTCTGAAACAATTTGGTCATCTGCCATGCATGATAAAGGGGGCATCACCACCTCATCAGGTGAGAAGGACAATAGGTGGGCATGAGGGGTGTACATAATTTATTTGATAATATAATACAAATTCCTATCAGTGGAAATTCTAGCTATACTTTAATAAACAGATCACAACTTAAAATGTTGTGATATGATTAGCAACACAGAAGCACATTTGCAAAACTTTATATGGAGAGCTCCTCTGATATTAGTAAGAAAGTACAGGCAGTCCCCGGGTTACATGGATCCGACTTACATCGGATCCCTACTTACAAACGGGGTGAGGCAACCCCGCACTAGCTGCTTCCCCCCAGCAGACCAGGGAGACGCGAAGCTAGCGCTCCCCCCCAGCAGACTAGGGAGACGCGGAGCGGCTTTTCTCAGCAGACACCTCAGCTTGAGAATAAAGGATTGAGGGAAGTGAGGTGTGGGAGAATAAAACTGAGCTCTGGAGAAATGTTTGGCTAGAGTTTCCCCTACAATATGTACCAGTTCCGACTTACATACAAATTCAACTTAAGAACAAACCTACAGTCCCTATCTTGTACATAACCCGGGGACTGCCTGTAATTAAATCTACATGCAAACCACAAACAATGAAAACATTAGAGAAAAGCAGGAAGAATATTTTAAAGAAAAGAAGAAATGTCATTTATCTTCAGACAGACATTAAACTCTTGCATACCTGATCTAGGTTTGATAGACTGTTTGGATCTTGACTGAGAGCTTGATATTGGCCCCGAAGTCTGTCTCCTGCAGCAATCTTTCTGAATGTCTTAAGATCCACAACATATAAGGCACTAAAAAACAAGAATTCATTAAGATTTGCATAGTTTCAGATACCTATTAGAAACAGGAAAAAAACTTGATAACCAGGAGGCAAATATTGTATTCATTAAAGGAATGTTATTTTAAAAAAACTAGCTGAAGCCCAAACACAAGAAGTTAAATCAATATTTCCTAATTAATCTACCACATGCATTTGGCGTAAATACAATTTTTACAAATTTTAAAATCAGATATTTTAGTAATCAGATTTTGGTGTTATTTAAATAATCATTTTTTCTTAGAAATAAACCTGTTTAAAAATGAAATCTGAATTTAAACAAAAATGTTAAGCCTAAAGGTATTATAATTTCTTAACATTTAAATAAGAATTAAGATGATAAATCCATAAGCATCTATCAAATACTTAGAGTTAAATGCTGTTTTTCTTTATAAAGAAAATTGGGGAGAAACATCTAACTTTTGAGGTTAATCTTTAAATGTCATAGTAAATCATGGACTTTATTGGGGGCTTGATCTTGTGGGGGATTCAAGCGCTGTGTGACTGGATGCAAGAGACTAGTAAAGGAATTCCTGGCATCGAGACCCAGCCACTGATACCAGGAGACATTATCATATATTCCAGCTAGACCATCCAATGAGCCCACCTGCGTAAGCTCATTCTTTTATTTTACAGCTTCTCCATAACTAAGCTCTGATTGGAACCTGATTCTCATGATGAATATCTATGACTCAACACATCATGGAAAATTATTCTCCGGCTCATGGAAAAATACCAATCTGAGCAGTGACTACAAGCTCTTGCTCTTCTGGATGGGTCTCAGCACTTCAGTAAATGGCTTTGCTCTGAGTCCTTGTATGTTTACAGAGAGATGCAAACAGAAATCTATTAATTTCTCAATTTGCCTCCATTTTTTCTCTAAACAAATACAATATTGCAGTTTAAAAGACGTGGATTATACAAGCAGAAGTTTTAGATTGTTGTGAGCTGATTTGTTTTCTAAGGGATGTTTAACAAGGCAGAAGGAGCAGAGTGTGTAACCAGAAAGGTGCAACACCAGTGTCAAAGCAGGACTCTTTGGGAAGAAGGGGATTTTTTTTTTTCACCAAAATGGAACCCTAGACATGGTTCACTCATTATGAACAGGCTACTTTTCCACCTGCCAATGGAGACACTGCTGATAGATTACTGGATATGATGTAGAAGAACGAAATTGAAAGGTGTGCAAGAACATTGAAGGGAAATCCATTTATCTGAATCTTCATGAGTAGAACAATGTACACAACCAGCCAGCAGTATGTGCTTGTATGACAAGAAAATATGGAGTTGTCTATCTTGTAAAAACAACTGATACAGCAAAATATTTAAACGAAATAGCAATGAAAAAGAAACAAAAACTATAACAAATTGTGAACAAAAATTCAAATGTGTAGCTTTGTCACTGGCAGTGCTGCAAATGTGGCAAAGATAAGATGAAATCTAAAAAAAGATAATGAAGAGAATCTGAATCTTATAATATTTTGGTGCAGTACTCATTTCATGCATCTTTTAGCCTAATTACAGGCAGTCCCCGAGTTACGTGGATCCGACTTATGTCGGATCCGCACTTACGAACGGGGCTCTCTCGCCCCGGAGCTTGCAGGCAGCGGGACCGCCCAGAGTGCAGCGGTCCTGCCACCTCGACCTCCGGGGCGAGAAAAGCTGCTCCGGGTGCCCCTGGTCTGCTGGGGACCGTCTCCAGCAGACCAGGGACACCTGGAGCAAAGCCAGGGAGGCGGAGGTGTCCCGCGCCTCTGAGGCTTTGCTTTTG